TTTTAGGTGAAACGGGAAGCCATGGGAGGAGTTTTCATCAGTAGAATAAGATAATTCCAATCACTCTGGCTCTTGTATGAATGGCTGGCTATTGACAAAAATCCATGCCCTCTTATTCCTGAGCACACAGTAAGAATACATTCCCCAGCCTTCATGCCATTGCATGCCATTGGGTGTGACTATGTGCCTAAGGTCTAGCCAACAGAATGTGAATGGAACTAATGCAGATCTGACCCATAAAAATCTCCCATGCATGCTCATTCAAGCTCCTTCCCACTTCCAGTTTAGAGGGATGGAGGTAATATTCAGAGAAACCTTCGAAGACATAGACTGAAGATGACAGCGACAGCATCAATCTACGTGTCTGAATGACTGCATGGATCAGACTCTCCACCTCTACCTGCACCCACCACCCCCATACACACACACATACCAATCACACACACAACAATATCAATGACATTATTGACTAGGAAACACCTGAACTTTTCCATGAGAAAAATCTGAAGTGTTTCTGTTTTGAGTAACTACATATATAGGTCTATTTGTTAACAGCCTAGTCTACCTTATTTAACACAGTGGATAAAAGAGGGGCTTCTAAAAGTGAAGCTGGCAGAGAAAAATAAATGAAAAGACTATTTTAATCAACTAGGGGAGATATATTGGTAGTATACAGAAGGGTGGTAATGGTGAACTTGCCAACAGATGCCCAGATTCAGAGTACAGTTGAAAGATGGAGGCAGTATGTACCAATGTAGTAGAACAACAACCTATTTATTTCATCTCATTCCTACTGAGGGGAATTTTTGTGGGACCAGATGGAGCTCTGAAGTATTTTCCCTGAAAAGGTACCTGATACAGCTGAGGAAGCCAAAACTTGTGTGGCAATAGAGTAGCTCTAGTGGAATCTGTGTGCTCTCACAGAGTTCACTGGTGAGCATTTCCATTAAATGGATGTGAGTCATGGAGAAAGAGAAATAGCACAGACTTGTCTTGGGTCCCCTTTGGTTGGCTGCCTGGAGGAAATCAAGAAGCCTTCAGTCAAAAGGAGGAAAGGACACTGCATAAGAGCTTGTGCTCAGGGAATGTGGCACATTAAGGGACTCCTGGGAGATTCCATCACTAGAGCTCAATCCGTGATCCACATGAATGTACATCTCTTCTAGATAAAGGAATCTCCCAAGAGTCTCTAATGTGTCACATAAGAAATAAAAATGTTTTCTATAGAGAATACCTCTATACCCCACCCTAAGCCAGAGAAGTCAGAACCTGGTGATCAGGTAAGTGGTGGAGTGGGTAATCAGGAGGGTGGAGGATAAACAGACAGAGAGGCAGAAGCCAATATACATTTCCTCTGCGTTCCCACTGCAGGTCTCCAGCCTAATGTGAACCCAAGCTGGGCAGGAGAGAAATATTTGCATCAAATCAGGTGTGGTATTTCACTACTATTCTAGATCCTGCATCCAAAAACAATGAACTAAATGTGTGCTGTGGTTTGAATGAACTGTAAGACTCTCCATTTCTAATAATGAGGATAAAGGTCCTGAGATATGTAACTTTTCGTCTTGAAATGGGAAGATTAAGCCACTGAATAAAATTTAAAGAGACCACAGGAAACTAAAATACAATAATGTCTTGATTATATTATGAACCATGCTTGTTCAACAGAGTGGTTCAACTCATGACAGATGAGAATTGTGGCAATGATATTGAATAGGTGGTTGGAAAGCACTAAGCCCAGGCCATCTTGCTTCTCTCCTGACATGGGAGAAATGTGGCTCCAATTGCTAATACTTCTTAAAGAATCATAAGAAAAGGTATTGCAGCTATACTTATAAATATCTAACAAAATATTAAAGCATATGACATTCCTCTTCAGTTTTGAGCTTGTAATCTACAAGAAGTTCTGTTCACATTGAAGTGTTTTCTATTAAACAAAAACAAATGACAAGTTCAGAAATATTTCTAGAGTTGTATTCCTGTCTGTACCTCATGCTCTTCTTTGTCCCATGAATACTCTCAAATGGGAATGGGAATTCAACACACAAAATATCCCTGTGCTTGCTCAAAAAATCTGGTCTATGGATCTTGATTTAATTACAGATAAGAACGGGGGTGGGAATGAACATAGAGCTCCATTTTTACTGTATCCATGACACAGTTAATCTGAGACACTGTAGAGGTCTACAAATTCAGAACACTTGAAAACAATTTGTTTGATATAATAATAAGAAAACCATTTCCTTTAACTGTGTTTTGTGGCCATGGTGGCAGAAGTCAGATGCCTCACATATCATAGCAGTTTTCATCCCTACGTGTAATCTAGGACCCATTAACAAAGGCTATTTCTATACTCAGTATGATTATAGACAAATCTCATCAAACTGACTTTATGAATTATGTGAATGCCATTGCTGAGAGGCTCCACTGGCAATGCACTAAGGCTATGCACTGGTACACTGCAGATAAATTAAAAGTATAAAAATTATAAATGGGGGATATACATTTTTAGGTCACTGCTGTCAATGTTGTAAACTGTCTTTCATAAGAACATGGATGAAAACTGCTAGATGGAATGGGGAAGAGTAGATCATGTTCTGAGCATATATGTGCTGTGGATTGTTAGTCCTTCATAGAAGGGGCCTGAGAAACAAAGATATTTTACGTGTCTTGCCAGTTTTATAGGAATTCAGTGCACTTGCAGATGATCAAACTATATTTAATGCATCATTTTTCTCTAGTGAGTTCCTCTCCCTGAAAAAATAATGGAATGAAAGATTCCAAATTGCATCCATGAGTCTTAAGGATAGTTTTGCAATACTTTAATAAATCTCAAAATGTTTATAGCCATTTTTGATATCATTATTTCATGATTATTTGGGAAAGCATGTGCTTAAAAGCAAACAAATAAAAAACAGGAATAATAAAAGGTAATTTGTAGTTTCATTTCTTTTCTTTTTTTCTTTTTCTTGAAATTTGGAGTGGCCAGAGAGCAGAATCTGGTGACTCACTGAGACAAGGCTTAGAGAAGTCCATTCCACCAATACTGACATCTAAGTTAGGAAGGTTAGGATACTTCCATTCATGGACCCTGTCTTTTTATTCATTTCCATATATTATTTCTTTATATTCTTATCTTTCTTACAGAACTGTGAACCCCTCTGAGGGTAGGGATTTAGTCACTGATTTTTGTAATTAGCCCCATGTATCCCTTACAAATTTGTGGAGTTGTTAGCATATGGTAGTCATCCAGTAAGGCGTCTAAAATCAAACAGCCAAAATAAAGATCACATTTCATTTGTTTCAGGAATCCTTATTAAGTTCACATTCAAACACTTCTAAAATCTGAATGTATCTCACATTCAATACTCTGTTATGCTTGCTATCAACACGGCACAGCAGTGGTGATCTGCCTTGAGATAAAATGAGAGACCATACCTCTCTGTAATTCTGAATTATAAATGTCCTTAATGACAAAGAAAGATGCTGTGTGGAAAACTATAGTCAACAACTCTGGGATTGAAACAGTTGGGTTGGTTCTGAGTATGAACTTTTAGGAATAATTTAATCAATTTGTTTTACTTCCCTTTTTATATACACTAAATGGTTGCTATATGGCTTAAAATAAACCTGAGTATATACAGATCTGAAACACTTCTTTCAATAACATTGTACCTAATAAGAAAACATTGTGGTAGCTTAATTGGCATTAACATTTTTCTTTGTCGTGATGTACAAAATAAAGGTCCATCTTGCAATTACTAAACATTGTACAACCTACAATTTGGTAGCAGATAGTGCATTTTTCATAGTGTCTTGATTTACATCCAATACCTTACAGTATCTTGAATAGAGTATATTTTCGGTCAAGTAGCATATTTCTAGGAGTTTGGACAATAACAGATAGCTATGGTCACTAAAGCCACCACAATCTATGTTCACAAAGTTACAAATGTTAGTATCAATGCATTCAGTTATGTTTTGCTTCCATTATAATCCTCCATCATGAGAAACTTTCATTTGCCTGTTAGACAAGGCCTCTTGGGCATGTGAATATCTATTTTAAATTTAGACGATGGTGTCCATCGTCCATCCCCAACCCAGCACCATGCCAGGTGAGACATGAAGGAACATAATCTTCCTACACAGTAACTTAGTATCCTCCAACCTGGAGGGATAGCACCTCCTCTACACATGGTACCAGCACACCAGCTGCAGCAGCCACGCCAGAACAGCAACGCTAATATCAACTTAGTGACCCACCTTTTCCGTCAATTCTTCAAATAAACTTTGTTTGACTTTTCCATGTCTTTGCCTAATCTCAGTCTGTTAAAATTCTTCCCAGTGTCTACAAACTGATGAAAACGTGATTAGATATTTCCTAACAACCTCAGCCAGAAGTTACTATAATTTTTATATGTCTACAGCTTTTGCTTATGCCTCCCCAACACTGTATCACAGGGCTATTAATAGAGATGTTTTATTTTCACTGATAGTATAATCCTTGAGTTCAAGGTAATGTTTTATAGATCTCTATATAACCCTACAATTTACAGTTTAGTGGTCTGCTTGTAATAGGGATTCAATAAATGTTTATTAAAATAGATACTTATTAAATTCCTAAACTTACATGTAATCTTGTATGTAATCTGTAAAATAATGGTTAATGCTCTATGCCACAGTTGTGTTTTAATGAGCTTTTTTTTTTTTTTTTACTAAGAACATTATAAACACTGTTCAGTGGAACAGCTTCATAGTATCACTAAGACTATGTTATGAAAACCTTTTGATGCAAATATAAAGAAAGCATGGCTATTAAGATTCAGAAATCATGGTAGCTATTTAGAATTAGACATCATTCATCAATTATAAACAATTTTCTATGTATGTTATACATATATGCAATATTTGAGGAAATATTTTCATATCAACATTATTTGCTGTGTGATAGCCTGGCTAACACAGAAACCTATGTGGTAACATTCTCTAGGCCAACTTACCTCTCACAATGATGTTGGTGGACTTTTTTGCAGGGTTTCCCACATTATTATTGGCGATGCAGCTGTAAGTACCGGCATCTTCTGAGGTGATGGCAGGTATGGTCAATGTTCCTCCATTCAAAACAGTCTTTTCAGGCAGAGTCCCAAAGGACCTGACCCAGGTGAGAGTGGGCACAGGCTCTCCTCCTGTCGTAACACATACTAATGTTATGGCCTCTCCAGGATTTACAACTATAGGGTCATCCACCAAGAGTTTAATTGACGGAGATGCTAAAAGACATAAACACAAACAAACAAAAAAAACATGCACTATTTAGATCTCCTACAACTGTAATTCAACAGCATGCTCTATATTTATTCAATTAAAATTGGATATTCTTTTCTTTTGCCAAAATCTGACTGTATTAATCAAAGTTTAAACCAGATATAACAGTTACATATTTTAATTGCATGGTATAAACCTGTAGAAATGTACTAAGAATCTTACACATAGAGAGAGGAATTAACATTTATATATCTCTGGATTATTGTTCCAAAATTAGAATGACAAGAAGGATTAAAGTTTTTAAGCAAAAATCTCTTTCTAATGCTGAAATCTCATTTGTTTTTGTCCTTCCTGATATAAATATTACAACTGTTTAGTCCTTGTATTTTCATAGGGAAGGTCATCAATTATTTAATTTGTGGATTGTTCTGAGGTACAATAATACATTTTTGGACCTGAACACAACCGAATAATAGATGAAGGGATAGATCTTTCCAGTTTTTCACCATGCAGTGGGCCTGGGTTTTGATCTTGAAAGGAATAACAAATCATCTAATTGTGATGCAGTCCTTAGTACTTCATCTCTAACCTCTCTGTTCACAAAAGGTCTAGAGAGTGAGTTCTCATAACTGCTTTAAAACAAATGAGAGTTCAAACATAGTCACCAGGCTATGCCTCCTACCAACCAAATGTTTAGGTTATATAATAACATCCCCAGTGAAAATAAGTCCCTTGCAAATTTGCAGGTTAAAAAATATAAAGATAAATATCCCTTTAAAAAATGCTGTGTTAGACTTTTCATCAAACACTCAAAATAGAAATAGTACAAAAACTATCTGTGTTCACATGCAGCACATTTTTCTGCTTACATTGCAGTGCTGGCCTACACCATGCATCCTTAAATGAAAACAGGCAATGCAGGATGCTGGTGTGTGATCTCACATGTTATGAGATACTTTATGTCAAAGTTAAACCTGTATTGTATGAAATCAGTCCACATTAGAAATACGTAAAATGTTCAATTATACGGTGTGATTTTTTTTTTTTTTTAACTATTAACTTCAGCTTAGAGATGGAGAGTGTTATTCTCAGAATAAAAGGTAAACTTGTGTGGTCCATTACTGTCTTCCTTGTTAAAACAAAAGAAAACAAAAACCCAGAAAGAACCAGAAACCAATTCTATATTATTATTATGGTTCTGTGGGACAGGCATGGATTGTCTGGGTGACACTTTTAAACATCATTTTTTGCATGTTAGTCCTTCTATCATTTTAAGTAATATAGAAGATTTCAAAGCGTCTTTCTTAGCAGCCCATGTGAGGTGTTGACTTGAAATTATAAAGATTATGATTAAAATTGGAAAAGGCACATAGTGAACACAATATGCAAAAGACACTGCAGTTTAGTACAAAAGAAAGTTCTGTCAAAGAGCTACTTAATATTGGTAAGCTGATAGAAGATAGTACTATTTAAATATTTTAAAAATAGGCATTATGCTTAATTATTGATATATTCATGAAAAAGTAAAAGAAATCCCCATAGCCCATGTGAGGTAAATAGCATAATTTTATAAGGGTACTTATAATTCTAGATTTTCCAACTTTATATCATGTTAACAAAGGTCAGTAGTTTTATACCATATTTTAGTAAAATTAAAAGTCCCAAGGTTTAAGGGCTATTAATAGCACATGTTGGGGCTATGGAAACATACAATGGTGACATTAACTCAAGAAATATTTGTCCCTGAAATCAACGTGTATAAAGGTGAGCTTTTACTAGACAGTTTCTATTAAAGAAAAAAATCTCAAAAAAATTCCAAATTTCAAAAAATAATACATATAAGACCACTGTTTTTTAAAAAAATCCTCTTTTCCAAATCTGAACTGAAAAAAGAATATTGTCCAACTTAGTTTTGTTGAAGATGGCTTTCATTTTTCAGATTATCCCTGACATTAAAAATATTAAGACCATAAAAATGGAAAATAATTTCAAGACTTTACAAGTATTAATATATATGGTAATATTAAAATTTTCTAGCTTTAAATAGTGGAAAGGTAAAAAGTGAAATTGTTTTCATTTTTTTTAGTGTCTTACTTTTGATTTTATAAATATCAGCTTTTTTAAGCTATGAGGGATTTACTTAAGAACCTCAGGAACATTAGGATTCACTAATGTTTACGTATAAAGCCTGCCTTAGAGAAAAAAAATTTAAATGGGAAGACATAAAATTATTTTTTCTATTATCAAATTGATTTTAGAGGAGATTTCTCATTGGAAGTATCCTTTGATAATTTGGAGGTTTATAAAAGAGTAATGCAATATATCCTGGGCTACTTACTCCCTTTTTATAGGTTTCCATAGCCCCCATTTTTTCCCTTTCATATTACATTGTGTAATATTAGACAGGTTATCAGAACTGCTCTTGACCATAGGTAGTGTGATGATTCCATTACCTGAGCGATTCCATCATCCTACACGGTGTGTTGTTTGAGTTGTAAGAGAAACCTGAGTTCAAATCTTGACTGTGTTATTATTTAATAGCTATTTGAACTTGGGCAAGTTCTTTTACTTCTTGGGGCCTCAGTTTCTCATTGTTGAGATGCAGAAAGCAACTGCTATTGATGTTAGAGCTTTGAGATGATTTAACATGTCTGAAGTGTTTACAATAGTGTCTAGGACAAAATATCCACTAAAAAAGTGATATCCTTTGTTACTATTTTTGTTACCACCCTCATAGCCTGGTTCAATGCTTAGCACATAATAGGTGCTTAATAAGTACTGGAAAGGCAAATCAATAAGTGAACAAATTAATAAATAAGTGACTGGTGTGAAAAATTTACTCAGTATAAAATTCAATTTTTCTATTTTATTCTGATGCATATGGCTCAGATATTTTAGAACCATTTTGACTTTTGGAGGTCTTATCCCATGTCATATAAAACATATTTAAAGATACAACACATTTTAAGGAAACATAATTAAACATTTATTACTATATTTAATAATTTTTAATTTGGAATTTGAAACTATTATTTTTCAAAATTCAACAATTTCACAGGGCTTTTCAAAGCTCTTGAGCAAAAATTAAATCTATTTCATCATCCACCTTGTAAGTGATTGCTATTTGTTTCACAGTGTCCTTAAATTGTCTAACCATCCTGAGTCTGTGCATTATAAGCTCCCTCTTTAGCACTTACATAGGTACACAGGAAATGAGAAAGATAAATCTCATTAAACTAAATCATGTAGGTAGTTGAGTGTTCAGTAAATGACTATAGCATGTGTTGGTCAAATTAACCCATCACTATATCAGTACACACACGGAAGGCCACAGAGGTCATCAGTGTCTTTCGTACTATGACAAAAGTGCAATGTCCTAAAACATACAGCAAGATCTAGACATTCATACATTCTTCACAGCAACTTGTGAGAGCAGATTACTATTTTCAGCTCATTGTTAAGTAAAAGAAACATGAAGACTGAAAAAGGAAGAGAAACACTAAATGGACAATAAAATTTTTATTTGGGATGTTCACAAAACCAAAACAAAAAGTAGAAAAAATACAATAAACAAAAAGTAAAAATACATACAATAAACAAAGGAAATTTTCCAAATTAAGTGAAATTTAATAGATTGTTTGAAACCTGTTTTATAGGTATTACCAACACCTGACTCAAATTACAAAAAAATAATTCCAACTAAGTCAGCTTTTAACGTAGCACATGCATACATACACATGCCACCATCTGTAAACATTGTATATGAATGCACGGCTTATAAATAACTGTGGTGCCAGTCAGATTTTTCTGAAAAGGTAATCTTGCCAGCACTTAATTATGGCAAGCATGGGTCACCATAGCAGTTGTAAGAGATGTGACTCTCCTCTTCAACATCAGTAGGCCAACAGTCTAGCATGACTGATGTGCTCCGTGGTAGGAATATGACTGACTGATTGATTGCTTGATTGATAGATAAATTATTGGTCCTGGGAGAAATGTGATAAAGTAGGATAACAAAGAGAGAGAAAGAGAGAGAAAGGGAAGGAAAGGAAGAGGAAGAGAGGAAAGGCCAGTCTGTTGTCTCTATTTTCCAAAATCCTAAACATTTAATAAAACTTCAATAACTGCAATATAGAAAATATATTTCAGGAAATATCTCTGAGAAAGGGGTTTCTGGCCTTATTCCCTTCAGCTCTTCTTCTGGCAAACAAAAAGAAGAGTTTTCATAGGCTGAATGAGAGACAGTTGAGTGGGTCTCAGACAGAGAGAGGACTGGCCTCTTGGTTCACACACCAAATGCCAAACAGCCTGATATTCAAGAGCAGTGAGTATCAGTGTGTCCCTTCTTGGTTTGAGGTCACTTAGTCTGACCACCTAGATAGATGAGGACACAGTGAATCTCATGGGAAAGACTCTGTGCCTCAGGGGAGCAGTCTCCAGCCCCACAGTGGTGGAATGGAAGAAGCAAAGAGACCTCATATTTGTCTTAGTTTGAGTCCTTCCAAAAACAGGTCCTGATATCCATAGTTACGTTGGATGCAGGTGCCAGGAATCATACTGCAGGAACAGTAAAGGGGGATAGGAAAGGTAAAAAAAAAAAAAAAAAAAAAAAAAAAGGCAGTAAAGGAACACTAATGAGCAGGTCGTCTTTGTGGGAAGCTTGAGTCCCTGCTGCTGGGAACCCTAGGAGAGACTACGGAGAACAGACCTCAGAGCCCTCCTTGTGAAGAGCAAGAAGGCTGTATAGGTATTTGTCTACCACGTCCCTCCTTCATTAATTAAGGATTATTCTGTGGTTCTTAACTTCCCAACGTCATGCTTTGGCTGAACACATTGCTGAGTCCAGAGAAAGTTCTTAGACAGAAGGATACTGAATGGGGAACCTGTTGAAAGAAAATGCAGCAACCTCTACAACATGCTAAGAGGAGAAGGCAGGGCTTTCACAGTATCTGCCAGGATGTCCTTCCACGTATCAGTGATCGACAACTGGCTATTCAAAGATAAT